CACTTGTAAAGTTTTATATAGTTTTTCCCATTCGTTAGCGACTTTGCATGTCCGAATTCATACTTTGAGCGAAATGAAACGCGATACTAACCGAGTTCGTCAGTCCACGGATTTCGTGACACAGTAATCCAAGGCATGGGTCCTGGCCAGAATGCCTGATTACGATGTACCGCAGTTTAGAGTATGGCCAAAAGGGACACGCCTGGTACCCTAGCTCAATGCGTCGCATATGTGACGGGTTTTTCCTGGACGTCTGTTGGGCACTATGTTCAATGCTCTAAGCCGAGTACATGGGATCTCAAAGAAATGAATTAGCGGGAACGAACTCCCGAACGCCCGCTGTCAGACTACTGACGAGAAGCAGAACTTTGGGAAATTATTTCATAGAGCAAAAGAATAACCAGCAGCTTCCCACGAACGTCGTGACGTCGTCCATCACCGTGACTCCAGAAAAGCTCCAGGATTCATATGCGAAATAAACTAAATTACATATAAATGATCATATACATATGTATAAGACAGATACAGCTGCTCGCAGATTCTCGGTGGTACAATTGCCTTTAAACCTAACCCGGATAAACGGGAACCAGCCAGCCAAAAATTGTCCATGGAAAGCTACAGCTATCAAGTCCTTTCCGTGTCTCGCTGACACAGGACGGCTTAGACGGCTTTCATAGTCCCGTGTATGTGTTACACAATAAAAGACCTACTCGAGCGCTTCCAAACACCCGTCACATATACGACGCAACAGAAATGCATTCCGGGTGAAGCTGACGGGATGGTTGGAGGGCCATTAGAGGGATTATTGTATCGCTCGTGTTTGTATCCCTCCGAACCATGTAAATGTCCCACCATAGATGCGATGATAATTACTTCTTCAATCACATAAGTCGATATTGATCGCCATAAATCGATCGGAATTATCGGGGCGAAGGGGACAGATATGTAATTACCTATGAGGTCTGAACGCTTTATCGCTAACCTTGCAACCACCAATCCCCTGAACTTTCTCCCAAGTGTTTCTCTCTTAATTCATGATGGATTTTTGCAGATTACAACCTATTTTACCTTTGCGGTGAAAGATTTTGCGAATAGACACACACATACAGACAAACATACATACCAAAAGACTGACACCAAAAAGCAAACCGGTATGTCAAGCTATTGGGTTTGGGTTATGTACAAGTATGGCTGAGCTGTCTAAGATATCGATGGTTAAAAAATAGAGGAAATGAGATTGCAAAGAAGTAAAATCTTATTCACTAACAAATTTCCTGACCATTGAACACAAGAATATATAATAAAAAATAGTGAAATAAAAACTTTAATGAAAAACGAAACGACTCAAATGGATTATGTTGACCTCTGAAAGAAATAGTATGAAATAGTATCGCAAGCATTTTAAATTACCTCAAAAAATGAGACGGTTCTGTAAAAATCCAATCTTATCAGCCAACAATCACGGAACTACGCGGGAGCATGAAATCCGACACTCCCGCTCCAGATTCTTAAGATGCGTGGAATGATCAAAAAACTTTGCAGTTCTAGAAATAAAGGTAACATTTAAGTTCGGGTTCCCCTTATTGATTCACAAAGGAGATAAAGACTCATTTTGCAAAATTCTTATCAAATTCTTCAATGCGTTCCACTGCAGCCTGACTGAAACATGAATTCGTTGTTTATAGCCGTCCTTTTCTCGGCATTCAAAAGATTATAACAGTAATTCAACATGATGAATATCTGAGAACATCGCTCCTGAAAGGGGACAGCAGCCTTACAACAAGACAGAGCTTGTTACTTATTGCTGTCGGCTCAGGAAATCTTCATCGAATATGTATCTTGGAAAGTAGTTCCACTCTACAGCTCTTAATATTAAGTTGTACTTATAAGATTTCATAACGAAAAATGGAGAAACTCTTATGATTAATTCTATAGTCCTGAGTTTTTCAAGTTCTGTAAACTGCTTTCAAGGATCTTGGATAAGGGTATGAAGGGCCTCAAACGTTCAACGTTATAGGTGGCCAGCGACAAGGACGGATAGCTATCGATGGCGTCCAGTTAGACAGAAGTTCTGAGTTTTCATTTTTTTCGAAAAAGGACAGGACATGCAACTTTACTCTCCAATTTCCAAACACAGAGATTGTTTAAGTTAGGGAGCTCCGTGAAGGTTCGTGATTTTTGGATCAGGGGCGGGGGTAGTGGGCGGTGTTGGGACTTAATGTTGTAGTAGGCGATTATGAATCTTTCATGCACTTTGCTGTAGTTGGGAGCTCTCGAATTAAAAAAAACAGATTTACACACTAATAAATTAATGGTAGCCCTCTGACTTTGCGGAAAACTACCACTTGCTCCAAACCACTCCATGCCTGTCTTCAGAGCCATGGCTTCAAATGTGAATAGAACTATAAACTTTAATTTCGGAATTTAGACTAACTTTGAGGTACTTATTTGATAAAGTAAAGCGAATTTTATGATGTTTGCGAGTTCTAGTACCTCATAACACCACCTCCCCACTACTCTTAGGTCTACTTTTAACAGAATGCGCGTGATTCCTCCAAACGTTGATCTTCATTTGAGAAGAAAATTCGATGGTCAGCTCAGTAGAAACAAGGGAAACCTCTCCATTATTCTGTGACAAAGGATGTATAGGAAAAAATTCCAGCAGCAGATCCTTGCTCTTCAGCTATTTCCGCAGATATCACCAAACCTGAGACTTTGCGCTGAGGCACACGAATGATATTTGAATCGACCACACCAATTGAATCGCTAAGCAGTTTAACTTATGAATTACAAACATGAATCGCAGCCAACGGGTTTGTTTACCAAAATCCTTATTTACGTAAAGTGACGTCAGTTTCGAAAACTGGTGTGCAATCGCAGTCGGTGAACCGTTGCGCGTGCGAGCAGTGCCAGGGTGGTCTTGACACGCATCTGTCGCGTCCTTTAACAATTTGCCACAGTACGTCCCCCTGCTATGAGCGATTGATTTTTCTTCATTGTATGATGGTGCTCGGTCGTGTCGATTCGGGGTTGGACATCTGTACACGGGGCTATTGCAATGGCCCCCATAGATTTCCTCATCGTTCCGGTTGCTATCGGCATGCGGCTGCTGCTGGTTGCTTGCAAAGAATTGCGGACCTTTTTTGCAGGCTGCTGGTTCCTGGAGCTGGATTTTCCTACATTCCTGTTCTTAAATGTGCCCTAGTCCGGCCATTCTATAGCTATTTCTTCCATGGACTGCATTGCGAGGTTCACACACACACACTTTTGTAATTGTAAAATGCCTACGCTTATTACACTATTGGCCCGATAGGAAACTACACACACTCACAGTAAATTGCAACGCATTCAGTGAATCTGTTTCAGCTATTTCCATGTTATCCTGGATGCTTGTAGTTCGATTCAGTGAGTCTTGTGCCTCTTGGGTATCTTCCAGAAAGACTACCCGGGCCACAGTCTCATGAACAACCAACTGCCATCGAATGATTCATCTGTTTCGTCAGTTATCCGATGCTACCGAGCTTTTTTCGAAATTCACATATGAAATGCAAATATTAAGTTGGCATATGTATAACGTATCTTTCGGCAGATTTGATCCTCAACTTCATAATCTTTCATTGACAACAATAAATTTTTGCTTAATCTTTTTTTGAATTTTCTCTTTCAATTTTGTGCGAAAATCGATGTTCCTACCCGTGGTAATTGTTGTTGACTAATTATGGTTTCTTGCAGATATGGGTGTTAAGGGAGAATCCAGCAATCGAGCAAAAGCAGTTGCAACTGATGACCAAATGCGTCTTGCAAGGCTTACTCTCGAAGGAAATTCAGCTGAAGAAGACCCCGCCAACATCCAAAGATTAATAAAAAGGGTTAGTTTCTTTTGCTGATAATTGGAAATGTGACTGAGCTTGGGATGGACTTTATTGACTGACTATATTACAAGATCTCTTCTTCCAAGTCTGAACGGGCAAAGTAATTGGTGATTATCCCATCGAACCCAAATCAGGTTCGGGCAGGATAACCACTTAGGCGAAAAAAGGCCGTTCGCCGTAACCTGGTCGGATCTGTGAGATACCAACAATCAGCAGCGCGAACGGGGACATTTCGAGAGAGGATTACCTTCATGATTTCGAAGCATCCTCCATGTGGTTTTTACAAACTGCAAACTTGTTCCTAATCTACCCCATTTTTAATGAATAATTGTTACGGTAGTTAGTTTCGGATTCAGCGTTAGAGTTTCGAAGGCAGGATAACCTTTTGAAAGTCGTTCGAATATTTCCCGTTCCTCTGGGAAGTATCCCTTTTCACCTGGCCTTTGGGATTGTTCAATGGTACCGCTACCCTTCTAGTAGGTTCTGGGTCCATTCAAATGTTCAACAAGGGGAATGCGTAATGATTTTCAGCAGGAGTTCCATTCTTTGCAGTATCCTCGTTTTCATTCATTTGTGTTATGTTTCTGTTAGCGAGTGGGCAGTGTTATTGCATAGGAAAAAGCAAAGCGCACATCTTCGCCGTTGTGCTAAATCGTACCGTGATCGATGCAGGCGGATCAAGTGCAGTTTAAACATGGTTGCACATTCCTATGCTACTTTGTTGCTAACGCCTGATTGCAAAAAAGCACTTGAGCCAGTCTAACTGGAACAGTTGGTGGTTTCTGGCTTTATTGGATTCCAATAATTTATGCATTGACATTATCCACGCACATTTTTATTTTGGGCAAAAAAATCACGCTATTGACCTGAGGGCAGGGAAGAGGGCAGTCTGCAGGGATGCAATCACGGAGAGCTTTCGAGCATTGTGACATACGGGAAATGTGTTCAAGTTGATGGTAGAAACCACCAAGGTTGCTCATTTAACCTTTTACACCTTTCATTATCATTTTCCTCGAGGTCTCTGTAGCGCTTCCACAGATATGCGGTCCAATGGACTTTCTCGCTCAGGAACCACACACATTCTTCTCCCTCGATTACTGCGATGACAGTTACATAACCATTCTAAATAAAAATTTGAAGTCAGCAAGACAGTTCTTTACGAGGTTTTTTTTCAGTGAACGGATAGGTGTGCGAAGCAGCGTGTCTTTAAATTCAGTTGTTTTGTTGGTAGTAAATTTAGCAGGGTGTTACGTGTGTTCCAAAGAAGTGAACACTTATAATGCCCATACTATCTAATCATATGCAACGCATAATTGCACTATGCGATCGATGGGAACGAGGGTTTCAGTTCCAAACTCTCGTTTGCATCGATCGCACGGTGCAATAATGTGTTGTATGCGATCAAATAACTTTTCCAGCTGCGTTTCATTTCCATTCTTGTATTTACTTTTAGGTCATTTATAGGTTATCGAGACTACGAGGTGTACGCAAGCTCGGGCTGAACTCGCTTTGTATGATAACGACAACGATCTCGCCGCTGCTATTGATTATATTTTGGAGCATGGATCAGAGATAGAATCATGGACCGAACAGAAAAGCAAGAAGGACAAGAAGAAGGAAGAGGAAGAGAAGCGACCCGCTCGTGGCCAACCGTCTACACGCGGACGTGGTAGTTTCGTGGATCGTGGCGGCCGCGGTCGTGGACGTGGTGACGGGAACGTGTCACGAGGAACGTCGCGTGGAGGCTCAATAGCTGGACGAGGTCGAGGAGCTCCGGCGAATTCTACTGGTTTCCGTCCTGTTCCTTCGAAACCGTTAGCCGATGATTCCGCAATTAAGGCTGTTGACTCCGAATCTGTTGATGAGGTTACAGACTGGGTAGGCATTGTGATTATTACTATTGTTATTATTTTAATATGAGGTTTTGTTATGGCGCAGTTTCCCGCGTGGTCAGGCTGGCTCACTGCTGAGAATTTCCGAGGTCGTGTTACAAATTTTTGCCTTGCTTCGAAAGAAGCGATGGGATTCAATTCTAAGCCGCTTTATTCTCTTTCGAGTACCGAATATTCACCTGACCTGTCTTCCATATATTCCGTTTTCCTGTTCGAACCTCTGTGGGGAATTCACAACGAGTTGCATGGCCACTTGACCCAGCGGGAGAACTTTTCAGCTACCAACTCTTGTGACTCTTCGGTAAGTAAATTTTTTGCAGAAAAGTGGACCAATGGTATTCCATCGCTCAGAAGATGGTACGGCAGCATCTATACCGAGTTCAACCGTTCCCGCACCTACATCTCAACCTTCGAACGCTACTCCACCACCTATTTCGTTTGCTGCTGTAGCCGCAGCCGCTGCGAAAAAGGAATTGAAACGTCAACAACCTCCTCAGCCGGTGAATTCTGTTTCGACCACTGAACAACCTGCTCAGGCGCCTACAGAATTCTCTCACGAAGAACCTGTAACGAGTAGTAGTCCGGCTGCAGGTGATCAAACTACGTCCAAGGATGTGTTTTATAGGTAGGTGTACCGTACCACTAACATTTTGTTATTTAAGAAGTTTCCTTTTTTTAAATTTACTTTTTAGTTATTTATTTTATATTTTCTTTATAATTTTCTATTTCATGCCATCTTTCATTTTTTTATCAGTTTTGAATAGGAGATCCTTATGATTCGTAACACGGCGAATATTCTTTAATTTATTTTACTTCGTTCACATGAGGGTTTCATAACTTGCGAAAGTACTACGATGCCGTTAAAATTGAGATTCTCCCTTTGGCTTTTTCTCTACTTCTAACCATATGCCTGTGCCTTCGCCCAGATGCTCAAGGAATGACACTGGAATTTTTGATGAGCATTTTTATGGGGGTTGTCATGGAAAATCACGTTTATTCCTCTTTCGGAGATCAGTAAGCTTCTCTGGACTAGGCCGTGTCAAGAGCCAACTTTTTTTACGCAAATGCGTGGGGATACAGTAGATAGTCACAGTGTGAAGAGGCATTGGTAGCCCTTGCGAGTTTAATGTAACGCAGCACTTACAATAAAAACTTTCGATTCCGCGATTGAGCTTTAAACATCGCTTCGTTATAAATATGATATGAGATATGGGGGACGAGCTACTATTGCTGATTCGAATTATTTTGGGTTAAAGGTTAAATTAAGGGTCCCTCTTTGAAATTTATGAAACCAGCCATCTAATACCATCTAATAGCAGATACTTTCTGATTTATTAAAGATTTTGAAATGTGTGAAGCAACTGATTTACAAATACTGATCGTTAGGTCAGCGGAACACACATTAGTATTACAATCAGATAGATCCTGCTATTTCTGGCAGCTTCCGCGTTACTCATCTTTATTTTCCTCACAATAGTCAAATTCGCAGGGCTTCATGCTCTGAAATTAAATGGCAAGTAGCATTATGCTTTTAATCCAAGTGTCGAGGTAAAATCTCGGGATTTAGCGTACAGCGCATATACAGTAGCGCTCAGAAGTCTTCGGTGAAATGCTTTGACGCTCTTTCTTTCACTTTTGTTAGTAGACGAAATCGCGCAAAATTTGGATATGTTTAACTAGAGCATATTTCACCCTACCCAGCACTATTTGACTGCGAAGCTGCAATATCCACAGATAGAGCAAGGTGTTTGTTGCCATAGCAGTTTTTGCTAAAAGACAAGTTGTTGACGTCTCCACTTATTCGCACCGTATGAGCGTTTTTCTCATCTGTTGTGTTCGGCATTACCGCTCGTACACTTAAGACATAGCAAAAAGGAAAGAGATTCAAGGCGGGCCATCATCTGTATTTTCAGTCGATTTTATGTTGATGCCCTTAGAATATCTGGAACATGATCAAATTGCAGGTTAATAGTGGCAAATATTCACAATACACCCACGCTCCAAATATAGAAATTTCGCATGATTAGGTCCAGTAGGAAAGAAGTTGCGACTGAAAAGTAAGGCTGAAGAACCATTTAACCGAAGACTTTTGAGCGCTACTGTAGCCACTTTCATACTATACTTGAAGAAGAATTCCATGTTACCTTGGTTTTGAATAGTTCCAGAAAGTGGAATCGTCTCAAAGTTTAGATTTGCTGGGGCCTTGTTGTTTGTGCGTCATATTTTCTGCAAATTTTATACAAAGTTGGGGCTTGACACCTCGATGAAATTCTTATTACTCTGACAAATCGTAAGCATTGCTTCAAGTCGAACTGTTTACAGCGAGCCTTCCGTTGCACATCCTATCAATCAAAACGAGAGTGTACCCGGTGTTCCATCCACATCAGATGCCGAAGATGGGGAAGTTCTAGCAACGACTCCATCGCTTTCGCCAGCGATTCAAGCTAATTGGACGAGTCAATTAAAGAATGATCTCGGAATTGGAATTGCTAGCCCAACTCGTCAACAGCAGTTCACTTCTCACTCCCTTACATCGGCTCCTGGTTAGTTACCTTTGTTTGTTCTAAATACTTCACAATACCCAGACTTGGTGCAGTGGCAGATGTTGATCGTTTTACAGCTGGCGTAGAATTTGTCACGGCAACAATTCCTCCTGGACTTTCCGATTATCACTTTGGATTTGTGGACGGACCACAAAACACCGAAATAAATGCATCGGCCGCTTCAGTGGCTAATGCGAATTCTGATGTTTTATTCTCTTCTGGTCGAACTACAACGAACACAACCGGTGGAACGGTTCCACAGAAGAATAATGAGGTGAGCATAGATGCTTGTGATATAACATCTCAAGGGCGTTTAAAACTTACGCTGAACTGGCGAATGGGAAGGTACGAGAAGGGAAACACATAAACTCTGTTGAGCTCTTTGCTAACGTAGAGGTTCGAATTATAGCGAAATTAACATACGAAGTGATTCAGCGTTTTTTTTGTGATGAATTCTGACGCCGAGCCTAGGGGTGCACGTACGTATTCTTTCTATCGTCAATTATATTCCGTGATTCACCAGTTCAGCAAATGCTTTTAACGCAGCCTTGCCGTAGTGTAGCTTTTTTAGAAACTTTAAGCATTTCTAGGATGAACGTCAATTAAACGGTGATTTCTCGTTGAAGGCGTCTCCACCGATATCACATTCCTATGGGCAACAACAACAGCACAACACGAGGTCTTTGTCGTATGCAGATCCGTCTTCAGTGTCGTACGCACCAACAACGCAACCAGATCGTGGAGTTGGATCCGGAAACAAACCGCCTGCACAAATTCACCACCCACCACAGCAATCGGCAGCCCACCAAGCACCCCAGCAGATGTTCCCTACTCAGATGCCGTACGGTTCATATCCTTACATGAACATGAATATGTATAGTCCGGTGACAGGTGTTCGAGCTGAGGATCAATATGCTGCTCTCTATGCTGCTAGTATGCCGTTTGGGATGGGTGTGGACTTGTCGGCTATCCTACCGCCAACGACTCCTATGTCTCAAGCTGGGGCTAATCAACAGCATCCTGGATCTACGCAACATCGATCGGATACGCACAATCTTGTTGATATGAATAAGTTCGCATCGGGAAATACGAGAGATGGCAGCGGTCAGCAGCCATCTAACGTAGCTCCGCCGCCTGGTTTCGCTAATCCATCATTTATGCCGCAGCCAGGTTTATCGTCTTTATTCCTTCAACAACAGTTTCCACCCCATCCGTATTCGTTTATGATGCCAAATGTGGGATCAGGACGTCAAATGTATCCCCAAGAAGACGATCGCAAGTCATACGATAAGATGGGAGGAGCGAAACAGGCCCAAGCGACTCCCCCTCAACATTATCACAATGGCGGATATCTCAACAGCGGCCTCAACAAGAAGCCCTATAATTGGAACTCTTAACTGGTTGCACATGTTCTCAATCTCTCATATTTGTGTTAATAATAAAAATCGTTAACACTACGTTTTTGCTTTTATTCGGAGGATTCTCCTAATGACATGCTATCGCATCTGATTTATTCGTAAAAGTATGAGAAAAAGTAGTTCAGAGAATGTCAGCGCCTGTGGCGCTTGTGACTGGAGCCACCAATTCTATTGGGAAAGCTATTGTACGGCGTTTAGCATTCGCTGGATACAAAGTAGCAGCTGCTGACCAGTGTCCTAATGCTGTTGACAGTGTAGCTGAAGACAATAAGAGGGTTCGTTAGGTTTTCAATTTTCAATCGGTCATTCCTCCCTAAATAAGCTATCACGGCGTTCAGTTGGTTAGTCGCATGGCCTAAAGTTCCAGTCCGTGCTTTCAATTAAATTCGAATCCATTTGAAGACGTTTCTCTATCAAGTAGCAGGGGGTTTGTTGTTCTTCAGTGCAAGGCCGATGTGGAACGGCCATCATACCTGCCTATCTGGTTTAATCACTGTACAATATGCAACACTTTCTCCCTTATCGCGAATGATTTTCCTCAACTGAACAAATGCGCTTACCATTCGTAACACAAGTTTTAACCATGTGTCTCATACGCTTCCAAGAAAACTAATCAATGAGGAGAACGAGATACATATGTTTGAACATTCCACCACCGACTGCTCTACTGTTGTCAGTTCAGTAAAAGGTGATTAAGCGAGCACTTCGATTTACCATTTGGGTTGCAAAATTACTGTTTACTGATACTGGCTCAAGCTGATCTTTTGTGAAGTGGAAATCTCCTCAACAAATCGAATGACGTTGGTTGCTTGTTGAAAAAACTGTGAGGTAAATAATGAAACTGAGTGTGTTCCTACTGAAAGCATCGGCGAAAAGAATGCATCGTCCGCGAAGGGACGATGCATTCTTTTCTACCTATTTCTTTTCTATCTTCTTCGATTCTTCACACCTTCATGTGAAGAAACGTTGAGAGCATTTATCGGCCGTCGACCTAGTCTTTCTAGCAATGCAATGCAAAAAAAAAAGAAGACAATTGTACAGCGTTCGTCCATACATCGACAGCAACGGTTCTGAGTTTTCAGTTGTCAAATGTGTCACTCCTGAAGTTCATCTTTCAGAACGTTTCATATTTTCAGTGCTGTAAATGAAGGTATTAAATACGTTTAACCCAAGGCTGGCACTTAAAAAATCTTACTTCTAACATTACGGTGTATGCTTTAGGACTACTTTGGAGTAGAGTACATATTAAAGCCTTAGCGTTGTGGCTGGTTTCTTAAACCAGAAGGATGGAAAATGGGGTGTGCAATATGCTTTAGATGACTCGGCAGATTTGCGATAAGGATCGACTAAGGGAGGTTCGGGCATGGGTTGTCTCGTCGAAACTAGGTGGGCTCGTCGTGTAAACCATCCTCCATATTCACTGTACTCTTAGTGAAGATGATGAACTACCGAGCTACGTTTCATGGGTTTCAATGCGCCCAATTTAATGGGGTGCTCTTCTCTACTTTGTACCCGGCAGAGCAGGGAACGGGTCTGTTGCTGGGATTATTCAGAAACATTGAATTAGTTTTTGAGATTACGTAGATTTGATTAAAAATTCACTTCTCTCAATTCGAACCAGGAAGAACAAGACGTTGATATCATCATCGATAAGGATAAACTTTGTTGTCCCGACAGTCCGAGAACGGTCGGTTAGCATCGCTGATAACTTAATAGTACAAAGTTAGCTCTGTGAAGCCTAATTTGAGCCTTTCTGTCAACTCCAAAGCCTATACTTAGGTCGCTCGAAAGGAATTTATCAAAAAGTTCGCGATAGTTCAGGATTTCGAGGAATGTCCGGAAGGTTTCCGTGGAATTGCTATATAAAAAGATTACCCTTTTGCGTGCGCATAGCTCATCCGGCCCCACCTTTTAAGCTTAATTGACCCTTTAGTGGTCGAGCTGACTCCCGATTTTCGGTGGGCACTTTCCCACGAATTCGAATCCGGCTACTCCGATGCCAAAGTCCTTCGAAACTTGTGTCGAACATTTGCCTTTGAGGCCCCTTCCGAGCGGTCGTGTGTACGCCTAGATGCAACCCTTCAAAGTCGTAAAGTCAGTTCGATGATGATCTTATCGGTCTATTGTGTTATCATGAAACCAACAGACATGCTGTGCTACAAGTGAATAGCGTTCCTTTATAGCAATTCTATGGGAACTTCATAAGCAGTTCCGCAAAATCGGTACATTTGTCTAGATTTTGATTATTCTTTTCGAGCACTCTAACATGTAAGTTTTACAGTCGCATCGATGCTACGGCTTGACTAAAGAGTACTTGATTTCCAGGTGGGAGGTAACGTTGTTGGGTTCTCCTTCAATATAGAGGACAAAAATCACCGAAGCGAACTTTTGTCCCGAGTAGGTTCTTATCTTTCATCTCTTTCTATCTTTCATAGGTCCAGAAGAGCTGTATTGGACAATTATAGTTCGCTTGTATTTATAGGTTGTAAAAGACATGGGTACGCTCGATTCATTGGTAATTGTACCTCCTGATAATACCGTTCGTGGAGACATTATCGATACGGATGTGAAACAATTCGATAGGGTTGGAGTAATGATTGAATTTAAATTTCACATACCGTTTGGTTCGCATGCTCATAATTGGGCAAACATTGAACAAATAAGAAAATGCACTGATGCAACATTTGAGTAGCCTCCCAGGGTCGATATGTCGGCCAGGTACCTAATCAAATGGCACTTGTGGGTGCTTTAAAGAAATTGCATCAAAATGTTCTCGTTTTCGTATTTAGCGGACCATGACTGATCTATTAAATCTACTCATTTCTAATCGTTTCTTTTTTGAAATTCCCGAGCTCGTTCGGTAGTTCTTCTCGATTTTGTACTGTTCCATTAGAGGTCGATAGCATTTTATTGCCCGATGAAATTGTTTTTCTCAGTCTTCCAGCTATTCAACGACAGATTAACGATTCCATTTCGATTAACTCAAGCTGCCATTCCATTCTTGGAGAAGTCAAAAGTAAGCTTCCATTTAACTTTCATCAGATTGAGGGTCTATTCGTCGCATGTTACTTAGGTCTTTCAACACTAGGTCGTATTTAAAAGCTTGTCATGGCTTTGAAGCTTTATCTGAACCGAACTCTGAACACTCTAGAACGGCTGCAGTTCTTTGTAGAAAGTCTAGCACTGAACCTCCCTTGAAAGTGCTTATATTCAGCATTCTCTCATGCGTGACACCGTTAACAGTAAATATGCCATATACTGCAATTACTTTTTCTATTGTTGTCTAGTTAGTGCTTGCCAATAACAATAAATGTGCTTTCGAGCTTTTTACTTACCGGGCGCCCTTTCCCGTGCTTGAGACATCGCCTCAGTTGCGATTTTACCATATCAGGCCTCAACGATCCAGCTGCATATTGACGCCTTTCATCATTTTGCTCATTGTTTAAATGAGTTACATCTAGGAAGGTTACAGAGCCTTCCTCACATAATATCCTTTATTTTTGGAATGGCTCCGTAGTATATCTGACGTCGTGCGCCGGTTATACGCCTGGATTAGACGTCGGTTTATTATCGGTGGCTTCGACAGGTGTTCTCAGCCTCACCAAAAATGTGGCTCTTTCTGCTGCACGTCACGGAGTGCGTGTTAATGCTGTCTGCTTTGGAATGGTAGGTTTTTCCTACAAGTCTTGACCCCTCTGCTGCTTTTCTTCGAGTGATTTATCAATGTTTCAAGAACGAGTCCGCATTTACTAGTAAGAGTTCAAATTTTTTTTCAATGAAAGCTGCTCGAAGCTGAACCATCCAAATCGGACAAATCCGTTCTTATGTCCATTATAAACTGCCCAGGCGATTCTCATGCTGTTAAGTTTGTGAGTAGTTACATCGCCTCCCTGGGGTAACTACTTGTTAGCAGTACCCAGCCATTTGAGATGGAATTCAGCCCCTCCGCCTACGTTTTGTCGTAAAATGAATCTTAGAGTTTTACAGCGATAGACATGATCGCTATTACAAAGATACTTCTAGGTTGAAAAAGATGGTACGGGTGCTTTTTGGGATTCGCATGTGTCGAATGAAGCTTTGCAACAACTTCAGTCCATGATACCACTTGGACGGCTAGGAAGGCCTTCTGATGCAGCTTCCCTGGTGCAATTCCTCATATCTCCTCGCGCAAGGTAAGTTCATTCAAACTACTTCTGTTCCTCAGCAGCACCCCTTCTCATTTCTGAGATGTTGCCTTTCAGGTATATAACCGGCGAGAATTGTATATTGAATGGTGGAGTATCTTTTAGATTGTAGTCAAGGCAGTCAACGATTTCATTTTACCAGGAATACTTTGTTTATGTTGATTATAAAGTGTATGTTTGACAAGGTGGTGAAATCGAATGTGGATACGAATCCTTAATTACTTTAATCACTTTATAAAAATTTTCTTTTCGTTACTTTTGTATTTCAAACTATGTAGTTCGAAATTCAAATTCGATTGTGCACCACGATAACGCACATCTCTTACTTATGCTGTTGTTTCTATCGTATCGTGAAGATCTCTTTCGCATAGACTTAATCCTTGGAAATGGCTAACCCTCCTCAGAGCGATCCATTCACCTCTACAAATCCTTTCTAGATTACCAATCATTTTCTGAATGATCTAGACTAGACTAAACTTCTAGTTGATGCTGAGCTATTCTATTCTGCATCTATCGCTCTTGGGTCAGGTTGGATCGTCAAGTAGAGTTTACAAATGATTAGGCAAACCGCTTCTCAAGCACTGGTTAAGACAATGATCACACGACATTTTTCCGCGGCACAATCTAGTTGTCGGATTGCCAGTCGCATAACAGCAGAGGAATATGCTGGACGCCGTGCACGCTTAGTTCAAAGCGTAAGAAAAGTGGCTGGTCAATCAGGTAATTCCTTATACTCTAAACCGTAGGTATTTCTGAGAATTAGATTCGATACTATTTCTGTTCCCTGAAGGCTTTGTTTGAGATCGTGACCTGGTTCTTCTATTAAAAGGGTCAAAACGGTATTACATTGCACCGGATGTTCCGGGTTCGTACCGACAATGCAGCCATTTCAGGTTTGTGGTTGAATTTCAACTTTATTTTTCATTAATCCTTCAAAAACCTTTAATGAGCCTTTCCTGTAGGTATCTGAGCGGTGTCACTATACCCGGTTGTTACTACCTCATTCATTCGCCAAAACGTGGAGGTCCTCCACGGCCGATATTGTTTATGAACAAAAGGAGTGATTTCGAAGAGTTGTGGGAAGGCGCCCTGCCTGGTGAGTCGTCTCTAGAGCTCACTGCAGGATTTGAGGAGCTATTGCCCACTAGGAAAATAAACGAGGTGCTTCTTTTCTCGCATACTCGTTGTACTGTTCAATATCTCTACACTTATTTTCAAAGGTGATTACCAAGATGGCATCGTCGGGCGCATCTTTGTTCTTCGAGTCAGACGATTGGGCAGGAACTGAAGTCGTGGCTGCTCGTACACAGTACGGTGCCTACCATTGTCTGAAAAACCATGTACGTTCATAAATTCATTCAGTTTCGTTCTGCACAGTGGTGTCATCGCTATCTTATCATCAAGGTCTTGACAAGACTAAGACAACACCGCTTTCGAATGCAAAGTTTCCTGCTTTATGGAATGAAAGAGATCGTTTGGCGAAACATCCATTTTTGCAGACCTCTCTACTTATTAGTATTTCCACAAATTCCTTAATTCAGTGTCTTCCTGATTTTCTCATCATTTAAGCATTTTCTTAGGTTCAAAAAGACTTGTTTTTCAAAAGAAATGGCTTCAGAAGCAGTATGACGAAAATGCGAAGAAGGCGCTCCTTTTTTAGGTAGAGTGAACAAATGCTGTAAGAAGACTGTTGGTATAACTACTTCCAGATAGATGAGCTGCGTTTTGTGAAGTCTCCGATGGAAATTCAGTCAATGCGAGATGTTTGCACAATTGGAGCTCAGGTGTGTACTCTACGCACATTCAGAGAAGTTACGACTGTCAGAAAGATTCCACTTCCAATTTTCACTCATGAAATATAAATTTGGTGGTGCTGAGTAATGAAAGTCCTTTTATTAAGGCTTTCAACTGATAAATTGCATGTAAATATTTAGGTAGTTGTGTCAACAATAGCAGGCTGTCGTGGTTTCGACAACGAAGCATCGATTGGAGGGTTGCTGGAGTTCGAATCGAGAAGGTAAGAAATGTTCAGTGAACTAGGTTATAGTATACTTGACCTTTAGGTTTAAATGTGACAAGTGGGTTGGTATCATGTATTTTCTGGATGTCAGGTCATTAACAAATTCAGGCGAGGTGCTGAAATGTTGTCATATCCTCCAGTAATCGCGGCCGGTGCAAGAGCTAATACCATACACTATTTGGATGCCAATGGAGCGATCGAAAAAAGGTAATCACGAATCTTTATGTTGACAGCTATCTATGATGGGACCTATAGTTAACTCTTGGCTTCTTTGTATAGTACCAATAAAGTGCAAGCTAGAAAAGTTATAATTAACAATCTTGGATATTGTAGCATCCTGACTTGTCTTACTTTTCGTTTACTTTTCAATGTTCGATGTACAGCGGTTGTTGCCTGCTTCAGGATAATCGGCACTACGAAATTCTCCGTCTACAGTAGGTCTATGTTGCAGTGATTGTGTGCTAATGGATGCTGGTGTTGATCTGAATGGCTATGTATCCGACATTACGCGATGTTTTCCAATTTCGGGAACATTTTCGCCTGCTCAACGCATTTTGTATGATGCTCTTCTACATGTGCACGAGCAACTGCTCGAGTACGCACATAATTCAGAAAAAGTTAGTGATGAAGGTTTTGCCTTGTTAATACTGCCACCTGGCTGCAGACTGGATTACAGGACATAAAGGGAGTAAGTGCAATAACTAGGTAATTGGCAGAGAGAGGGGAGTCGCACACGGTCTCATTAATTTTCCATTTTTCTGTATCTTTGTGCATGTTTAACTCCTTCTCCGTGACAGTTGGATAAAATATTCATCTTGAAATTCCAGATACGCCTTAGTAATTTATATAGCCATATGGTGGAACTTATATGTAGCGCTATTCTTGAAATTGGACTGCTTCCTCAGTCAACAGACAGTCAGAAATTGCTCAGAGTAAGAGCAGCCCTTCCAAATCAGAATGGATGTTTATTTTTTTATTTTTCATAACTTCAATTCAGGCTGCGGAGTCACTATGCCCTCATCATGTTAGTCATTACCTTGGTATGGACGTTCATGACTGCACTACAATCTCTCGTGATATCGATGTTCCCCACGGGACTGTTTTCACCGTTGAACCTGGTAAGCGAATTGCTTTCCGTTTGGCCTACAAACTTCCCATAGGGATTTTATTGGATTTTCTGGTTGACTTGGAATTGCTATTTGTTATTGAGCTTGTTATGAGAAGTTTCTAGTTTTGAGTTTTAAAATCGTTTTTTCGAGGTGTTCTTATTAAGGTCTCTATGTGCCTAAAGATCCGCAGTTCCCCGAGGAATTCCGTGGTATTGGACTGCGGATTGAGGATGACGTTGTCGCTACCGCAGAGGGAATAGAAGTGCTTTCAGATGGTGTCCCACGTGGAGCTAGTGAAATAGAATATCTCATGCGATCTCAATAATTTTTTCTTGCTCAAACTTAGGATAAAGAAGAGTTTTAATGACATGTTTTGGTGATAATGGATCCAAGGTATGTTGTTCATGAGCAAAAAGGCTCATTATTTAAAGAGCCGTGGTAATCATTACTTAGTTTGTGATACGGTCGAGAGCTGAATAATTTCCGGTCAATTATTTCGGATACTTTATGGACTCTGGATTTCATCATAATTTACATATTTCATAACCTCATGCCATCTCCACAATCCCAAGATTAGAGGGGTGGTGGGCGTGTACCTCAATGATACAGTTTTGACTCGTAGTGCTTCAGATTGGNCAACCTATGGATACGACGAATTGCGAGAAGTAGCCTCACAGGCCACTTACTTGCCCTCATCTTGTAGATTCTTTCGCAACTGGGAAATTGATGCAGCTCGATTCGATCTACGCGATAAGATATCGATCCCGGGTATAGGTACTTTCGCCCGTTTGAAGATGCGCTTGGCAAACTGTGATGCGAAATTCGCGACGATTTGTACGACTCTGGCTCCTACCATTGCGGCACAGGGTTGAAGTAGTGTAGTCAAGTAGGGTTGGCCAATCCTACTAATTTACTCCACTTCAGACCTGTGCCTAAATGATAGGCGTCAGAGCAGTTCAAATCGTTGCGAATTGCGCCGTGCACTCCAAACGGGCGGATGATCAGTAATACATTGCTCCCACTTAGCGTGTGCATGAGTTTCTGTAGTTCAAGCGCCTTTTAGAATCCTCTTCGACCAGTACTATACAAAAGGGACCAATACTGGAATGTTTAAGGCTCGATTCATATACTTTATTTTAGTTAATTGGTTAGTATAATCAGTTAGTGAATTGTAAAGTGCCAGGGATATTCTTTTTTTTCAGCTTGAGATTACTAAAATATAATTATGTGCATTTTTCTACTTCGATTGAGTTGTGAGTGATTTCTCTATGGTTTCTATCGAAGGATCAAGTGGTCTAGGTGAAGTCGAGTTGAATTGGATGGAAGTTGATTAAATTTCGAATGATTTCATGATCGGCGATGCGAACCAGTCGTAGAGCAGATTTTGGAATGCTCATCGCTGGCAGTGTCTGTAAGCACACTTTGATCAGTCAGAAATTCATTCCAACTTCGATCCCTCCTTCCTACCTCCCATTTGTACGCTCTTATGTCGAATCGCTCCACAGTGCTAGTTGTTCGGGTTCCGTCAAATCCACCAGCTACATAAATACATCCGTTCATAATTTCAATTCCAAAATTGGATCTGTAGATAGGGTTGTTACTTGCTGAGGGATTACTATATTATACATCGAGAACCAGTTACTTGATACTCACCGAGTTATCTCCATATCAGGAAGCGGGTACCATAGGCCTACACGTTGGTCATAGAATTCGGTACTTTTCAAACGTCGTACCCCATTGAAACCTCCTACGACGATAGCTGAATTCGCCTCGTATGTCACTGCTGATACTCCAGTCCGTACCGAACGCATTGCCGACGATCCGTTCAGCCTGAAGGAA